CAGCTTTTTTCTTTTTGCTTATGTGGTGCTGAGGAATCGAACCCAGGGCCTCAGGCATGCAAGGCAAGCGCTCTACCACTGAGCCACCTTCCCAGCCCAGGATATTCTATGCAAATAACTCTGAAGAAAGATAGGAGTGATCCCACTGTTATATGATAACAAATTTCAAGAGTTGGAAGCCTGAGTTTTGTTATTGTTGTTGTTGTTGTTATTGGTGGTGGTGGTGGTGGTGTTTGTCTTTGCTTTTGGGTTTTTTAAGGGTGGGGGAAGGGAGACACATGGAAAAGGAGGGAGGAAAGGTGAACAAACGCACTCTTGCTATTCATTACACACTATGTGGGGAATGAACTATGCAACCTGTGAGGAGGGACAGGAGTGGGAAAGCGAAGGAAGGAGACTTGAACTCAGCTCCTGACTTATAAAATAACAACCTTTATGTAAAACACCTCGATAATAACAATAAGATTATATTTTTTCAAAGGCAGAAATTTTTATTTTGTTGACTTCACATAGAACAGACAGACCAGGAAAAAGATGAACATAAAGACAAGACATTTTTACACACATCTCTTCTGGTCCCATCTTAGAAAATGCTTTGTTTTAAAACACTAGTTAAATGACCACCAAAGTAGTAAGAAACTACCACCAAGTAGCAAGGTCAAGAAAAGCAATACACATTTTGGGTGTTTCCTTTTGCATTTATTAAAGAATGCATTACCCATTTCCAGTTCTTCTGTTTGTAGTGTGTGAGCTTTGTCCCCACAGCTAAGTCATTTCAGATAAAAATAAGCCTGACAAGGGAGCCACCAAAGTGTTGTTTTCTCCTCAATATCCAATCGTGAGACAGGAATGCATGTAGCAGCATTACATTTCATCTTACTGTCAACCTAAGGAGCTCTGATTTGCCAGTCGATCTGAGCGTTCTGATTGAGCCTAATTTTTTCTTCTTGCTTCACTAATAATATGCAGATATAAATATCATCTTAATAAGATTGAGAGCAATGAAAACATCTTTTTAAGTCATGGTAGATAGAATACAGACATAGCTACCACTTACTGGATTAGCAAGCAGGAGTGTTAGGTGATGAAAAATATCACCAGGATAAGTGTGCAGGTTTTTACTCGGTAACTTTAAGGGGCTCACTAAAACCATGACAGTCTTAAAAGCCACATTCTACTTGGAACCTAGGGAACTGATTCCTCCTGTCACTGAAGAGCATTAGCTCCCATCGCTCCAACCGACTTCTTCAAGGAATGTTGACAGAGCTGAAGTCTTGTCTCAGGATGGACAAGAACAAAGATGTCAGGGCGGCGTAAATCTTCACCCAAGCACAAGCGGACCGCACAGGAAGTCATTCTTATACTAAAGTGACATTCCTGACCTTCCGAGGACTGGCGATGTCAAAGGAAACCTGTGGATGACCCGCCCGGCCCGGCCGAGGCTTACTGAGATCCTGGCAACAAAAGATAAAGGATGGATTTAATTGGCTGAGCTCACAGCACGATACTCACTGGAGGAAGCAAGCTCCGTCATCTCCTAAGATAAAATGAAGGCAGAGAAGGAACAAAAATGTTAAAAACACAGCTACTTCAGTATTTCCAATCACGCACACTCCAGGCACTCTCCAAACCCAGGGCTCAAAGAGCAATCCAATACAAGAACACACTAGGCAGACACAAAGATTCCCTGTTTTGTTCTTCGGTTTCCCTATGGGAGTGCTTGCCTTCTTTATGAACACATCAAACATTTCTGGACTTCTTTAAGCCGCACGTGGTTCTTGTGCAAGGCAGACGGGGCCTGTGAACAGAAGCACTGAGCGAACCTGGAGCCCCTGCCTACCTCCTGGGCTAGCGTGCCTCCACGCTGACTTTTCCAGAAAACCAGGAAATCCCCTGGCAGGATGGAGACCTGTCTGCTAGGATACCCCCCCCCATTAAACTGTGTGCAACCAGTTTCCTCTGCCAGCCTCAAGCAGGCTGGCTCCAATTCCAGGCGCAGTCGCTGCATTTAACGTCATAAATAATGCAGCTGCGCAGGATGAATTATTCAGGCTGCAAGGTTGAGGACAGAATGTGGCCCAAATCGATTGACTCCCAAGAACAGGAGGAATCCCGGGGCCTCTCAAAATGGCGCCTTTATCGCTGAAGGTGCTGGAGACAAGTGTGGTTTGCCTCATTTCCCACTGTGGGTTGCACAAGTGTCCCAGCGTTTTACTAAATTTATTGCATGTTTCTTTCTGCTGATCTAAATAAATGAGAGGGGTTCGTGGGAAAGGCCCCAATGAGGTTAGAATGGGTGACAGGCTAACCCTCTCAGCCTGACAAAAGGGCAGACACAACCACCCAACACAACCAGCAAGATTCACTGGCCGGGAGTCCCTAATTCTTCTTCTAGAAAGAGGAGGAGGAAATGGAGACCATTGTTTTCCATCTTCGTTCAGGTGCAAAACATTTGCAAACACTTTGGGGCACTGGTAACTCATGCCTGTAATCCTAGCTACTCAGGAGCCTGAGAGTTGAGGATCACAGTTCAAAGCCAGCCCAAGCAGGAAAATCTGTGTGACTTGTATTTCCAATGAAATACCAAAATTTAAAAAGCCAGAGGTGGAGGTGTGACTCAAGTGGTAGAATGCTAGCCTTGGACTGGCACACACAGGCACACACATGTGCACACATGCACACACAGACACACACAAAATTGCAAATACACAGATTTGTGGCGACACAGAAAAGAACTTGTCTTTCTCATTAACTGGATGAAAGTTTGAGTAAAAGTGTGAAGTCTGATACATTCGTGTTATCCCAATGAGAAACCACTGAGCTGACTGCGCTCTCCAGGCAGAATCCTCGTCTTGGAAACGCTGGTGTTACAGGCCCCACCCACAGACTCCATCATCATAGAAACGGGCAGTGAGAAGATGCCAGGGTTTGGTATATATAGATTTTGAAAATCGATCTCCCTACAAGTTGACACACTATCTGCAGCCTAGATCCCTCCGTGGAACACCCTACAGAGGCAGCGCTGTCTAGGGCCCCTCTAAAGCACAGGAGGTTTAGGGACGCCACTGCCCACAAATGGTGGAGTGTTTTCATGCCTTGCCTTGCCCTTGGCACCAATGTTACACCTCAGAGTTTCCCGTGATGTATGGCAAGCTCAACAGGCATGTGAGGCTCGGGGTCCAAACACACCAATGTGAGAAGCCCCTGGACTTGAGGTTCTGGTTTAAAAAGAAGAGTCACGTGGTTCTACACCTCAACAAGAACCCTGCTTCCCTCCTAGCCTCTCTCCATTCCCACCTGTCCGGGAGGAGGCCAGAGTACCCTTACACTCAGCCACGGTCACAAGCCTACCAATTTGTTCAACAAAAAAAACAGAGATGCTCAGATTCCTCCCCACCTCAGTCCTTCTGAGCCAGAAGAGCAGAGCTGGGGGTCAGGCATCCGTCCCCTGGAGTGCACACAGTGAGCCACACCTGCTCTTCCATTTTGCAATGTGCTTAGACAGAGGATCCCTGAAGAAAGCCACAGCTCCCAGACCACAGGGACAGAGCAACCTGCTGCGGACTCGATGACCTTCATCCATGACCCAATCATGAAGCTCTCTAGAGGACCGGTGAGACCACATGACCCACAGGCCACCTAGCAGTGACCTCAAAACAAGCTCCAAATGGAATGTCTGTCCTTCCCCCCCCAAAAAAAAATCCGCTCAGCCCTCAACACTATCCATCTAAGTGAAGGGGCACTCCAACCTCCTCGAGCCCTGACTCCATTCCTGACTCCCCAGAGACTCCTCACTCCCCCCTCAACACTATCCATCTCAGTGAAGGGGCACTCCAACCTCCTCGAGCCCTGACTCCATTCCTGACTCCCCAGAGACTCCTCACTCCCCCCGGGAAATGCCAACCCCTCCATCTTCCAGTCTCACAAGCACAGATCTCACACGCGCTCCTCAAACTCAGCACTGAGCAGCCCTCCGAGAGCCGCAGCATCTGAGAGCGGGGGATGGCTGGGCCTCAGGAGGTCCAGGCGGACAGGAGGGCAGAGCTGTCTGAAGTCCCTAGGAGACCTGGGCCTGAGGGGAACGAAGGAGCACCAGCCTGTGTTGCTTGTGATCTGGCCGACTGTGACGAGCATGTCCCCCATCGAGGCTCATGCTCCCACAGGGTGCACAGACGGCTACTTCACATCCACCATGGTCTTTGGAGCCACAGCGATGCGGTGGACAAGAGCCACCCCACGTGCTGGCCAAGCTGCCCACTCAACCCAGAGCTGAGGAAGGGAGACCTTCTTCCGCCATTGGGATAAGGATTCGTAAAGAGAAGAGGAGGCGGGAGGGTGGTCTGCCTCACCTGAGGAGGAGAGCGGCTGCCCCCCGGCTCCGGGACGGCGCTGAGATCGGCAGACTTCGGAGGGAGTGAAGCAAGCTCTGTAAGGAGAGAATGTCCTCAGTACGAATGATGAAGACACGAGCCGCATGCTCTGACAACTGCACAAAGATGTCTGCTCGCATGAGAGTCCTCGCCACGGCTACAGGGTGGATCAGGAATGCTCCCCCAAAGGCCAGGTATCTGAGGCTTGGTAGGATAAGGAGGGGCTGGAGCTTTAAAGGACTGGAGCTTGGGGGGAGGATGTGAAGGGAACCTTGGGTGTCTCTCCCTCCTCCCTCCCCTCTCCCTCTCCCTCCTCCCTGTCCACCATGTTGCGAGCAGCTCTGCTCCACCAGGCCCCTCCCTCCATGACCAGCTTCATTGGAACTCAAGGAACAGGCCATCAGATCCCAGACCAGAGCTCTGAGACTGTGATACACAAGAACCCTTTCCTCCCGTGAGTCACATGATGGAAAGCTGACGTGCAGAATTATAAATAGACTTTTTTTATTCCTGTGAAAATACATAATTTTACTACTTTGTTGCACGCAGAATAAAAATAGGGATAACTGGCTCAAAACCAGTTCCTTTCTTGATACATTAGTCTCTTCCAGAGACAGAATGAACCCGTGGCTTCAACAGCTAATTGGGGAAAAAAATAAACACAGAGCGGAGAGGCACAAGGGGAAGAGGTTGGGGGTTAGTCACTCTGGTCAAGTACTTGCCTCACTGCCCAGGCAAATAAATAGTCACAATAAATTTTGCCAAACGTTGTGTTTGCATTATCAAATGCTTTGCGGAACTTTTTTTTTTTTAATCTAAAGAACATCTTCTGGAATGCATAGGTGAAGCTGGGGTAAAAAGCAAAGGATAGCCTCCCACAAAGAGTCCCAATCTCAGCAAAAATCATTTGGGGGGGTGCTGCCTGGACAGCATGAAGGCCTTGAGTTCAAACTCCAGCACAGCCAGAAAAAGAAAGAAAAGAAGAGATGTTTAATTTAGTTCTATGGTCCTGCTCCTGGGGCTTGAACTCAAGACCTGGACACTGTCCCTGTACTTTTGTGCTCAAGGCTAGCACTCTACCGCCTGAGCTACAGCTTTACTTCCAGCTTTTTGGGAGACAAGAATCTCATCCCTGCCCAGGCTAGCTTTGAGCCATGATCCTCAGATCTCAGCCTCCTGAGTAGCTAGGATGACAGGCGTGAGCCACCAAAACCTAGCAAGAAAGGAAGAAGTTTTGAGCATGCGTGCACACACACACACAACACTCAACACACACCAGCAAGGGTGTGTCGGCTGACAATCTCTCCATGGCTTTGTCTTCCTGGCGTTTTGTGCAGGTGGACTTCCTTTCAGACTGTTTATCCCTGGCCAACTCAGCCTAACCCTCGTCATACTCAGCCTAACCCCCCTCATCAGCCGGTCTGGCTGCTCCGATGTGGCCTTCTGAGTCCCCACCCCCTCGTCACCACGTGAGAATGGGATCCTACAGAAAGACTTTCCAAAAATAAGCTTAGCATGCCGACATTCCCCAACGTCCTGTTCCGCTGAGCTGGAGCAGACATTTCCTCTGTTTTACCTGATCTGCTTCAAGTCCAAAGGAGGTTTCTGCCGACGGGTTAAAAGACCACCCCACACATTGTAAAGCAGAGGTTATTCAAAGAAAATCATGAATAGGTGCTGGTGGCTCACGCTTGTAATCCTAGCTACTCAGGAGACTGAGATCTGAGGATTGTGGTTCAAAGCCAGCCTGGGCAGGAAATGCCCAGTGGAGTCTTATGTCCAATTTATCACAAAAAGTTGGAATGGAGCTGTGGCTCAAGTGATAGAGCACTAGGCTTCAGCAGAAAAAGTTCAGGGACAGCGTTCAGGCCCTGAGTTCAAACCCCAGTACTGGTGTAAACACACGTGTGTGCGCACACACATGAACAGAGAATGAACAATTTCCTTAAGCTTTCAGATATACTTTAAGCTATAGATAAACAGGCAGGTTTTTCCCTCCACTGCTAAATTTACTCTAGAATGTTCCTAATTCTAGAATCTTTCCCTTGAGAATTACCCAACCTTTAATCTCCACCAATGGCTGAGCCACGGGCCAGGAGAAGCTGGTCTCTGGTCACCAGGAGACTCATGACACATTTCCCTGCAGGTCCGCCACCGTCCCTACCCTCCCCCTACTCACGTGCAGCCTTGGGCTCATCCGAGCTATATCCATAGTTCTCATTTCCCCTCTTTAGCTTGCTGTCAACAGCGTCTCTGGTTGTCTTCGCAGTTGCAGATTTTCTAGAATTAAACCATTGTATCATCAAACACTACCTGGGGCTGGAGATCTGGTTTGCATGTTTTCTTATACACTGAACTTGTACACTGAGCTGAGCCACTGTCTTCACAATGGTGCACACGCCTGCCTGTCTACACACCCCACGGGGCATCCCCCTGTGACAGGTGCACATGGCCTGCCTGTCCACACCCCACGGGGCGTCCCCCTGTGACAGGTACAGACAGGTGCATGAACACTCCAGAAGCCATTGGCCAAATAAAGCAGGGATTGGGAAACTCCGATCCCTGAGCCCCATCTGGCTTGCCACCTGATCTTTATAAATAAAGTTTAATTGAAACATCACCTGTCTTCATATTATCCACAGCTGATTTCAGAGTTGAGACCTCACAGGGACCAGATGGTTGGCAAAAACAAAAGAATTTACAATGCTGCCTTGCTATAGAAAAAGTGCACCAATCTCTGAAACAAACGCAGGTCGGAAGTCGTGGGGAAGGGAAGTGTGGGAATGGGGATCTAGAGAACTCAAAGCGCTATCCTCAACGCCCACCGATTTCTTCCAAGGGAATAATCATAGATGTGTGGAAATGCTTCCTTGTGTGAGTTACCCGTAAGGGAATAGCACAAATGATGCAGCTGGTCGTTGGCAAAGGAAAAGACAATGTATCTCCTGGGATGAGTTTTCATGCAGTCTAGTAAGAACCTTGGCCTGGCTGAAGGGACGGCGCAGGCGTGCAGCGCAGACGCCGCTCGGTAGCCCCGCTCCTGGCACCAGAGGGGAATCCCAGACACCACACAGGAGCAGCCTGCATGAGAACGCTCACTAGGACATTCCATTCATAATGACCCCAACCTGAAAGCAGGGTCTGTTGACGGCGCATGCTAGTGCATGTCTGTAGTCTCAGCTATACAGGAGGCTTAGGTAGAAGGGACTGCAGTCCGAGACTAGCCCTGATCAAAAAGCATAAACAAACTAAAGCCAAAAGGGCTGGAGATGTGGGTCAAATGGTAGAGCAGCTGCCTAGCAAACATAAGAGTCTGAGTTCAAATCCCAGTGTGGCAAAAAGTATTATATTATTATTATTACTACTACCACTGCTTCTATTATTACTCCAAGCCCATTTAAGGCAAAAGGAGAAAACAAATTTGCCCAGGATGTGCTATCACATGAGCATAAAATGCCTAGATCTGTTTGTGGCTCAGGAAGAAGACTTAAGTGAGCACATGTGATATATTCTATCTCCAATAACCTGTGAGTCACATCTCTGGGTGTGGGAGGGGGCTATCACCTGCGGGGATGAGCTCTCTGCCATGGGTTGTGAGGATTCTGGGGGGTACTGAGGACGAATTTCAGTGGTCAAGACCCCACTACCTGAGCTGAGGTACTCCTAAGGCGCTGCTCTCTCTGTGCTACACTCCCTCTAAAAGCTCTATCAGACAAACAAAGGAAAAATGTTAGAGACAAGCATTTATTAGCAGATATACTCTGCAGAATAGTGTCTAGTGAAGAAAGCAAGCCACGCTTACTGTGGTCCATATTTTACTAAATACCCACGTCTGCACAGCCGTGCGCATGTGAATACGCACGTGCAAACACACTCATACTCTGCTGGCAATGGTCACCTCTAGATAGTAGAACTGGGGGTGAACTTGCTGCTATTTTTTTTACTGTAGGCTAGCACTCTACCCCATGAGCCACGTTTCCAGCCCAGCTTCTTGCTGGTTAACAGGAGATAAGTGTTTCAGGGACTTTCCTGCTCAGGCTGACCCTGAACTGTGATCCTCGGATCTCAGCCTCCTGAGTAGCTAGGATTACAGGCGTGAGCCACTGGCATTATTTCTAGTATCTATTGCATTTAATTTTTAGGCAATAAATGTGCACCGATTCTATTTTTTTAACTAGGTAGGGTCATTTTAATACGAAAGATGTCTGCGAGAACTGGACTGAACGATGTGGACACACTGGTAGGAACACGCAGGTAGACGTGGTCAGCAATGAGCCGCCTGCCTCATCTGGGCCAGGGAGAGCACACGCAGACGGAGCCCACGGTCCACCCTTTCCCCAGGTCCAGGAGAATTGCTTAGCCTCCCTATCTCTGCGTGTATGCGTGCACATGCGCGTGCACATGTGTGTGACACCTGCGTTAGCTGCTATCATAGCCACCTCGAGGTTCTCTTATGGCTGTTGGTTCCACACCTCATATCCCACGGCCCCTGATTGCTTCACATGTTCTGAAATCCCCAAGGATCCTCCAAGAACAGAAACAGAAGGTGCTGGGGCAGTGGGCAGTGCTGAGCCGAGTCCTAGCTGGTCACCAGGAGAAACACAGGAGGACAGAGCGGCTGGGGCCTCTTTCCCGCCTCTTCCCCCGCCCAGTCGGAGGCACAAGTTTTCAGACCTCCAGGGTGGGATTCTGAGACCAACCCCCACTCTGAGAGCCCCGTTATTTGTCGGGCAGGGGGAGCTGCATACGTAGCCCCTGACACTCGGTGATTGCCCACATCCACCTACTCTACTGTCGAGAGCATGTTGGATTATCTAATAAATACCTCGCGTGGCTGTGAGGACGCCCCGGCTGAACCAGCGCCTCCTGAGAAGCCTCCCCCCAAGCGTCTGCCGAGGGCCACGCTGTCTGTCATGTCCTGCTGCCTGTCCTGAGCTCCATCACCTTAAGAGTGCTTTCAGCTACGGCTGGGCAGCGGGAACCCAGGGCTCAGCCCCCCCCCCCACAGGTGGATGGACCCCCCCCCCCCACAGGTGGATGGACCAGTCAGTGAACACTGCCCAGTGTGCCTGCCTGAGCCATGCATCCAGAAATCCCAGCAGGCCCCCTGCTGGTAGCCTCAGCCGGGACCCAGGGGTAGGGACAAGAGCCGTGGTGCACAGCACCCTCATGTGGAGAGAGTTGCACATGGCAGGCACTAGGAGACTCCGCCTCCCCGTGAGCCAGAGCAAGTCAGAGGTAGGCAGCTCCACCCACTTGTGCTGAACATATAATCAGTGTTGCCTGTGAGTTTGTGGTTGGCATATGGTTTTTGTTGGGGTTTTTTTTTTTAGTCTCGTCTATTTTCAGTACTCAGTTTTGAGAAGCATAATCCTTAAAACGCCACAGTTAGGTGTGGGTGTGTGTTGGTTGGTTATGTTTGACCAAAAAGACAAATGTGGTTGCAAACTTACCTTATTTCATTTTGGTAACTAGATTCTAGATGGAGGAAAGAAGAAGAAAAGGCAATTAGAAAAATAAGGTTATTCATTCAAAAAAGAATACATCATTGATTTTTAATGGGCCTTATATTAGCAGTTTGAACAAATAGATATTACGTGACCCCATACCAGAGTGTCAACTGGCTCCTAAGCATAAGTAAAATAGGATTCACTGTTATCTAGCAAAAGGGAATAATCTGAGTAATTGAAATAGTATAGGTAGCCAGTGTACACCTAGTGAATGAATACAGGATGTGATTAGCAAGATAATCAACAGCTCATCACCAAGATGGACTGGTTTACTAATGACAGCTGCTATTCATTAGTTACTATGTGCCTCACACCAGAACTGTACAAACACTTTAGTTAATGAATGCCATCATATTTTAACAGGATGGCCACCATTAGGTTAGTATTACCCTATTTCTTTAATTCTAAGATACATTCTCACTAAATAGTAGCAATTCATACGGCATGGCACACACGCAGAAAAAGCTGTGATTACTATTTCTAATCAATGGCTTTCTGGACCAGAAAGAATCTTGAATGTGAAGATGCAAAAACCCCAGCATTTGTCTGAAGAGCTGTGTTCCATAACAGCTCACTTCCTTACCCAGAACTCCCAAAGACCAACAAGACACCCATTTTCCTTATCTCTAGATAATGTCCTCACTCGATTCCAGTTCGAATAATGTCTTCCTGCTCACACCTCAACCTTGTGGCCGATTTTGGTTTAATTTCAGGGAAGTTAGGCGCCCCTCCATCGGGCACCCACAGGGATGCAGGAAAGCTACCGACACCCCCACAAAAGCAGGGCTGGGGGGCTGGCCTCGGGTCCCCCGCTCTACACACGGAGGCCCCCAAGCCCGGCTGGGTGGGAACCTCTGTCCTTCCCAACTATTCCTCCATTAGCCAGAGGCTCACTGAGGTTCTCCAGGTATGAACAGGACACCAGGAACTACGTTTTGGACAAAAGATGTTTACTAAGTTGAAGCGTGGATGTACTCTCCCTAGCAAAGCCAGCAGCACTCCAGTTCTTGCATTTTGCTAAGCTATCATGTCATTTCCACTGAGCCCTGGCTGGCGGTGGAACGGGAGCACTGTAAGTGAGTCACGGCAGACCCTGGCCACAGCCCCGGACTGGCTACGGAGAAGAGGGAGGGGCCCGCTGTCCCTCCAGCCAACATCTCACCACAAAGCCACACAAAGGGGCAAACCCAGGAGGGATCACAGGAGCGTGAAGATGCTTGATCCTCACAGTCAGTCTGTAAGATGACGGCTTGTCCACAGGGTGAGAAATGCTGAGGGAATGGACAGGC